ATGATATATATTTAGATCGCGTTCTATATATTTGCATTATATATCTATTTTATATACAGATATTGTTATTTTATATTATTGCCTGTTTCTGTTTGTTTGTGTTTGTGGCATGTGCTTGCAAGATTGTAAAGCCTTGCTTGATCAACATTTTACTGCCTCTCTCTCCATCCATCTCCGCTATGAGTATGAGACTTTTTCTTAGTATGATTTATTAAGTGTTGGTATTTTTCCAGTTAAAGCATTAATATATATTTCCAATGTCCTTTCCAAAGTAATAATTGCGTTAAAGAAACAATACACCGTAAATGCCGTAATTTTGGACTCGTGTTTAATCAAGCACACGGCTTGATGCTCTCTCACCCTCTCACTTCTGCACTACCCGTTGTCTGCGCTAGGCCTCTATCTCCCCGTGACCAACTTTCGATAAGGCGGCCTGTTCTCCGACCGTCCAGACTGAAATGCATGTTAACGCTCCTATAATCACTGTGGATTCCATACTCCGCACTCAATGTCCTTTTCCTACTGGACTGAACAAAGAGGGCGGAAAGTAGGGCGATAAGAATGTCTCAAACAATTTAGTGTCATAAACGCCACCGTTGAACTTTCGAAATTGTGTCACCCGCAGCGTAATCCAGCCCACTGTTGTAATCAACCCGATGTAGTGTTCTTGTATTTGCTGTTTTGTGGGGATTTGTTGTTATTATTAGGTGTTTTACGCCCCCATCAACACAATTTAGATCATCTGGGAGGCTGGTTTCGAGCCTACCTAACTGGGCCAACCCACACTGAAGGATACAACGTCTTAGCAGGAAGCCCAAGATACTTGATAAAAATTCTACCCACATGGGAATCGAACTTAGGTTTACTGCGGGAAACGATGAAACGCCTAACCTGGCTTAACCACTACAGCAACCAGGTGACGAGATTCACTACAAATAACTCGTGTTCCCCCATGTAAAGTGACAATCGGAGCGCACAGAGCATTGACGTATCTTAGTTTTTAGATTTACTAAATGCAGGGTAATCAGGATGCCGAGCGTGCAGAGTGTGAGCGACAGTGGCGCCCTGCTGGAGGTGCATGCAGGGAAACTTCCTTGGATGTCCGAGTTGGTGCAGGAGAAGGTGGAGATGATGGACAACATGGTTTGTGCCTCTGTGTTTGTGCCTCTGTGTTTGTGTGTGTGTGTGTGTGTGTGTGTGTGTGTGTGTGTGTGTGTGTGTGTGTGTGTGTATGTGTGTGTGTTGTGTATGTGTGTGAGAGAGAGAGAGAGACAGACAGACAGACAGACAGACAGACAGACAGACAGACAGACAGACAGACAGACAGACAGACAGACAGACAGACAGACAGACACAGACACAGACACAGACACAGACAGAGAGGGGGGGGAGGGGGAGATTTGTAACAGTGTGTCAGCTAGTCAGTGTCTTGCTTCAGAGGAACGTGACAATGTTCATGAAACCATGCTGTCTTCTTTTTTCTTTTTGCACGGGTTACGGTTGAAAGACAAGACTGGAGGAAGCAATGGATTATGAAAGAAAAAAGGGGTCATTAATGAGATGAACAGAGGGAAGAAATAAAGAATTGAAGGAAGGGGTCTATGAAAGTAGGAAGCCTGGATGAAAAACCTGACAGTGTGAGAAAAAAAAACAAAGCTGAGAGAGAGAGTGAGAGAGAGAGAGAGAGAGAGGGGGGGGGAGAAAGAGACAGACAGACAGACAGACAGACAGACAGACAGACAGACAGACAGACAGACAGACAGACAGACAGACAGACAGACAGACAGACAGACAGACAGAGTGAAAGGGGGAGAGAGGGAGAGAGAGAATTTTAGTCCCCGTAGAACTCAATCTAAATTTGCTTTCATTATCGCAAGCAGATACAGATAAAGAAAGAGAGAAAGCGAAAGGGAAAAGGGGGAGGGGGAAGGGGAGGGGCGAAGAGTAGGCAGAGAGAGCCCATTTCTAAATGTATATTTTAACGGTTTGGTTGTTTTTTTGTTTCAGAACCAGGAAAATGCTTTCTTCGTAGTCGACCTGGAAGAAGTATACAGACGCCCGGAGCAGTGGAACAGACTCCTACCTCAGTGATCTCTCTGCACGTAGGCATTCTGAGACAACAACCTTCTCTATAGAAAGACCAATTTCTGTTCTAAGAACTGTTTTATCTTTGTAAAATTCACAGCTTCTTTCAAAGACGATAATGTACATTATGTATTACATGCATTGCCCGAGAACTACAACAAGGGAGACTACCCAAAAAGCATTTCGTTAACAGTGCACCACAGATATTTGCTAGAGTAGTCTTTCTTAACTAAGTCATTGAGACTTGTGAGATTCCTCTCTGGTATTTCCTTCGGGATTTTTTTTAGGGGGGGGGGGGTGGGTGTTTGGGGAAGGTTTTGTTTATATTTTTGTTTCCTTTTTTCCTGGGTTTATTTTAATGAGTAGCCAGTAAATTATCAAAATCCCCTAAAAAACGTGGGCGCGGGGGTTGATACCTCCTTGGGGAAAGGGGACCTTGGAACCTTATTCTAAAAACAGAAAGGCAGAACAAACCGACAGGGCGAACAGACCAGGGCAGGCCGGACCGTAGGATAGGTGGGTAGAGTGGTTGGGTAGG